AAATAAAATAAAAGTAAAACCGAAAATCCAATCTCTCAGTCACATACTACATTCAAGGGCTCCTGGACTACAAGCTCCTGGTAACTACTGTTGCGGGCGGCACTTCTATCACTGCAGAAACCCAGGCGACACAGTACCGCTCTGGAAGTCAAAGTCACTGATGTGAGGCAGGACTCCAGATTCCCTGTTTTCCCAAGTGGTCATCTCATTATCCCAGCAGCTTTTAATGAACCAACCATCCTCTGCCCACAGAATTTCAGCAGAGCCGCCTTGGCTGTATATCAGATGACGATAGTGGGTGGGGCCTACTTCCAGGCCCTGCTCTGTTTCCGTGGTCCCTGTGCAAATACTACACTCCCCAATTCCTGGGGCTTTCTAGTGAGCCTGCGCTTTCCGTCCAGAGGATTCCAAACTGCAATCCTGGGAGCTCTGGGACTTGGGAACTGCCCCAGGGGCCAGGCTAGACAGAGTGGCAGAGGGGCACAGGCCCCATGCCCACTGCAACCAGGGCATCCCTGGCCTCTGTTATGTGCAGCTTCCTCATGAGACTGCCTTTTCTTAAAAGGGCTCTTGACACAAATTGAAGGAGTTTGCAAACACCACACACAGGAAAGGAAGCAGAGTCTCGAGAGGGGACACAGTGGACCTTTTGTGATAATGTCGAGAGCACACTCCGGGCTTCAGTGCCCCGCCAGGTGGTATCCCTCTTGGCCCACACCTTCCCTTCATTAGCACAGTCAACAATTCATTGAAACTGTACCTAAGGCCTGCCAGCCCAACTACCTGTGTGTCACCAGGCTCGCTTTCTTGCTGGGTCCCCAGTCCCCAGAAGGAGAAAGTTACGCAGTCTCTAGGCTCAGCGACAGGGCCAGGGGAAGCTGCCCGGCCTCCAGCAGGAGCTTCATGTTAAGGGAACAACCCCCTCAGGGCCTCAGGCCCGGCTGGGGCTGGAACCAGGACAGCGCAGGCAGCAGAGGGCTGGCGGGGCTAGGGACAGGCCAAAGGTGCAAACAGGCAGCCGCCTGCAGAAGCTTCAAAGGAAGACTGGTGCAGAGGAGGGACGGTGCCAGGTGAGCCTGAAGCTCCCAAAGCGGGGAGCAGGATGTCTAGAGCCCCATCGGTGGCTTCTGAGGTCCCTGGGGCTGCAGTGGACATAGATGCCGTCTCGTGTCCCCCCTCTCCCCTGCCCTTACCCTACACCAAGGAACTAACAGGCCCAGCCCATCTTCTGGGGTGGAGAGAGAGGTTGTTTGCCAGGTCTTAGGCTCCTTCTATACCTGGGCAGAAGTCCACAGTTTTGGCACCCATTTAACCAGCGCAATCCTTTAGGAACAGGCCCAGGGCTGCCAAAGTGCCCAGTTCAGACAAGCTACAAATCTGATACCTACGTGAAGTAACAATTCTTAAAAGTTGGCAGCTGATTTAAGATTTCTAAGCGATACAGCCCACTAGTCTGTGGCCGCTAGCCCTAAATGAGTAGATATTTCACAGGGATATCAGCTGAGTGCCCACTGCCGTGTATGCGCAGCCCTGCCCTAAGTGCACCCAAGCCAGGGAGCCCTTACAATAGCTGTCTGCAGGACTGAGAGCAGCAGCTCCCGTCGCACATTCACACTCAACTTCATAACCTGCAGAAGCCAACTCAAGTGAGCACAGAGAGTCAGAGTGCCTTGCCCAAGGTCACACAGCCAGAGCAGTTTGTAGAAGGGCTGAGATTTGAATCCAGGTCTGCCTGCTCCCAAACCACAGCTCCTTGCCAGGCTTCCCCACAGACATCCCAGGGGAGCCGGCCAGATGCTTCGAGTGCACAAACAGCAACACCGCCAGTCCCTCTGGCCTGGGGCCAAATACCAGTGCAAGGGACAGCCAGGCTGGGAACCCAAAGCCCAGAGGGACAGATCTGCACAGCTGCTCCGCCCTCCAGGCCAAACCTCAGAAGGCAGCCTCAGGCCTAGGCTGCAGTCAAGTGCGCGAGTGCGTAGGCACACACCAGCCCCACACGCCCACCACACGCTCACCCCACGCCACCTCACACCCAGAACGCCAGCCTGTCCTGCAGGCACAGAGTGAGGCTGCCGACACCCAGGCCGTGGGAACCCAGGCCTGGTCAGCACTGCTCTCAGGATCTAATTAGGCCACTTCCCGGGCAACGGGCAGGAAGGCAAGGGGACAACGGTGGCCCTGGCACAAGGATCCAGCGTTCCAGGGACCACGTCCAGGTCCTGGATGAGCCAGGCAGGGCTGGGGCTGGGAGAAGACTCAGGAGCCAGCCGCAGCACAGCCACAGCCCGGGTCCTCTCACAAGCCACCCGAAGCAGACCTAGAGGCAGCCGCCGCCAGGAAGGCATCAGGCCCCTCTGTCCAGTCACCTGCTCCTCTGCCAGTCTCTGAGGCAGCTGGCAACTGAGAGGGGACCCCGAGGCCCCAGACGCAGGAACCCCTGTAGCAACCTCTACACATGACCTGAGCCCGGCCTGGCGCACCTCAGCGGCGGGGAGTTCATCTCTCCGGGCAGGCTCCTCCTTCCCTGGGCACCTCCTCTGGCTAGAAGTCCTCCCTTTGGTCCAGACAAGCCTTGCCTCCCTGTGCCCCCGCAATGGCTCTGTCTGAACTCCAAAGCCACAATCAGGGCCCCTTGACCTGGGGGAACTGAGGTCCCGCAAGGGCTTCACTGTCATTCACACCTTCTTGACCACCCTGTCAGCAGAGCAGGGCAGCAGCCCCATTTTATAGAGAGGACCCCACCATGGTCCAGGTGGGGGAGGCTGTTCCCCACTTCCACCGGCATCTCTTGGCCCCTGGTTCACGGTCACTGCTTCCCGTGGCTGCTTCCCACAGGCCCTCCCAAGCTCCAGTCCCACAGTCACACCAGTGAAAATCCTTTGGACACTTGCCACCCAGGGAAGGAGCGGCGGGCAGACCCACAGCCTCCCTAAGGATAGACCCCACCTGAAAGGGAAGCCAGTGCGGAGAAGCAGAGAAAGACAGGTAAACAGCATCATAGGGCATGGGATGCAGCACTGGGGACTAAAGCCAAGGCCTTTGCACTGAGCTATCTCCCCAGTTTCCAGCCATCTTTTTTTTTCCTTTCTTTTTTAATATAGTACTGAGGATTGAATCCAGGTACTCTATCACTGAGCTATATCCCCAATCTTTTATTTTTTGAGACACTAAGTCATTAAGTTAGCCAGGCTGGTCTAGAACTTGCGATCCTCCTGCCTCAGCCTCCCAGAGGGCTGGGATTACAGACATGGGCCAACACAACTCAGCTAAGGGACAATGAATGCCCCTTTCAATTCAACCCAGCTTGAGTGTTTGTCACTTGCAATGAAGACTCTAGTCCACGTTGGGCTTGCAGGCCAGTTTGTTATGTCTAGGAAGCAGTCCTATGTCCCACCCCTCCTGGATCCAGAGTCAAGGGAGGGTCCCACTTGGCCCAGAGTGAGAGCGGCCCTGAGGACACAGCCCATCCTAGTTTACAGCTTCTCCGAAGGGGACACTGTCCTCCCACCTGATTCACGCTCTCCCCACATCCCAGGCCCAGTCAGACTGTGGAAGACCTGGGAAGCGGGGAAGATGGAACCAGGGCTGCATGTGTCGGGCTGCAGTGGCCTCCAGAGACTTGTGTCTGGAGGAGGATGGGGGAACCCAGAGGCCTGCGTGGGTGTAAAGGAACATCACCGGGCAACCTCGGGGGCTCTGGGCTCCTGTCATGCGCCTGGCATTGTGCTTCCTTCGAGTGTGTGCACCTCTCTGAGTCCACAGCTGCTGATCCCATTTCACCGATGGAGGCACAGAGAGGTCCAGGGATTGCTCATGGCAACACAGCTAGGAAAGGTGAGAGCTAAACACAGATATCCAGGGTCCAGCCCTCTTCCCGCCTGTCACCTCATGGTGCCAACACCCAGAAAACCCATCACAGCTCAAAAGGCCAGCTCTTCCTGTCCGCTCTCCACAAGGCCCAGGACAGCGAGTGGAGGCTGAGTAGACCTCATCAGAGGATGGGGCTGCTGCCCTGCTCTGCCCCACAGGAGCAAGTCAGGCAGCAGGATGCAAGAGGCCTGCTCAGGAAGCCCTGTGAGCCACCTGCACCCCTCTCCCCGTCCCACCTTCCAGGCAGGACTGTGTTCTCCCTGCCACACATGCACTGGCTGAAGCAGGGGTCCCAGCTGAGGAACCTCTGGAGGCAGGAGGCTGGGCCCCTATGGGATTGGGACTGGGGTGCAGGAAAGACCCCTCCTTTGTGGAACTGACACATGGTACCCCCCCAACCCCGGCCCACTGAGTTCATAGGGCAGCAGCATTAGACACCCCTGCCTTCACAGGCACAGACAGCGCCCACTTCCTCAGCCTAACTGTTCTGGCAGGAACCCCAGCCTGGCTTACTCCGGTTGAACTCAGTAGGACCTGGAGGGACCCAGGCCTGGGCCCTGGTAGCCTCAGAAAAGGCAAGTGGGGGCCCTGGGGTGTCAGGAGCAGGCAGGCCTATGGAGAGGAGAGGCCCCATCAGGCCCCTGGTCATCCAGGCAATCACCCTGTGGCAACTAAAAGCACAAGCCC